TTGGAAGTGAAGGTTAAAGCCCTAAAACAGCCATAATACCAGCGCTGTGTCGCCGCATGCACAATGTACCTTTTGTGTGCGAGACTGCCACTTTTCATTTAATCAGCCTCTCTTTTGTGAGGACGGAATTACCCTCGAGAGCTTTCCTGACAAAACCTTCATATTCCGGAGCAAATTAACAACAGAATCAATCCCTATTCTGAAGGCACGCCGCGACTGCAGCGCACTTCAGGTAAGGTGAGGCTGCTGTGTTTTTCAGCCAGCTCAAAGTAAGTTATTTTTCCATACGAAATTACAGTCAGTGTGGCTGGTCTGATGTTTTTACTGTTAATTCATCATTTGGTCCATACAGAACAAACATCGGACTAACAAACAGGTATTGCTCTGCAAAATAACACATAACCAACCAGAGAAGAGCACTAACACCAACAACAAAACAAAACAAAATCATAAAACAAACAACAAGAGCAGGCACACATTAAAATGGATAAAACGCAAACAGAAATTTTATTGTTTTCAGCTCATGTGGGTTTGGATGCTTTTTTTTCTCTGATTTTTATTGCTATTTTCCTTTTCTCTAATGTTCCCTGTTGTGATCAACCTCTGGTTCCACAGATACTTCAGTGGGGGAAAAAAAGACAGAAGAAAACAAAAAAAATGGTCAGATTTTTTCTGCACGTTTTAGCATTACTGTGAAATGTTTGGAGAATCTGTTTTGCAGAAATTTCACAGTTTGAGGTTGTAAAGTGACAAAGTGTGCACAGAAAAATGTACCTTTTTGGATGTTTTTACAAAGCACCATTTAAAAAGTAAATGAGGTCCTAATCTCAATCGCACAACCCGCAGTGTTGCCTTGTGGCCCCTTTGCTTAATGTAACATTATGCAGAGCGACTTGCCCAACTGTTGCACGGCCAGCCGAGGGAAATTAATCACACAGTAATAAAAATGCAAATATTATGAACAGACGCTCACAACAAAGGAACAACAAACGTCCTGTCTTTGACTTTCAGTCAGCCAAAAGAAGTGTTCAGAAGTCGTCTTAAAACAGAACGTGCATAAAAAAGCTGCAGTTATTGAAGTGAAAAGGAAGCAGGTTTGCATGAACTGCCTTCGTGGGTCGAGAAGGAACATTGCTACCCGGCTTCCCTTCGCCAAAACAGTCCTCCTTCTGCCACGAGTAGTCGCGTGAATCTTCTGCACGTCGTGCTCTTCTGGCCGCGTATTTATCCAGACGTGTTGCTTGTTTGTGAAAGTGCGCAGGCAGGGTCCAAGTGCCTCCCTTGGTCCCTTCAATCCCCCAAAGCATCGGCGGCTGCCAGGCTCATCCAGGCCGCGTCTGTCAGAAAACAGCCCTGTGGTGAAAAGGGGCCAAAACTCACCCTCTAATGGGCCCCAGGATAATGATTACTTTGACTGATAGCATAATGAGGGCCTAATAAATATGCATGGGCCACAAGAGGTAATAATACTGTGGATTATTAAAACTTTGGGGTTAGAGGTCAGGCTAATGAGACGAGGCTGCAGGGGGAGCCGCGTCCGCCGACACGGGGGCACCGAGGTGGGCCGGGTGCCGGAAACATGGCTTGTTCTCATGTCACCCGGCAGTAAACCGGTGAAATCTTCTGTCATGTGTGGATAAACTGGGGGTGGAGGAGGCATTTCTGTTGTTGTTTCAATGCCAAAAATAAGTTTTAAAATCAAATTAATATCGCTAGATACATATCACAAGACAAAGTTGTGCATATCGGTGAAATGGACGGAGGCTGATAAATTATTGGGCAATAATAATCCAAACGAAGAGCCATTTGTTGTAATCAGCACCCAGGAACAACATTTTGCTGCAATTACAGTTGCAAAGTTTTTTTTTGTTGTTGTTGTGTCTCAGGCAGAATATTTGCTCATCCATTATTGCAAGGATGGCTGGATGCAGAGTATCTGTGTAGATCCCTACCTTCCTACTTCCCTCTTTTGTCTCTCTTCCTTGTTGTTTTACATCCCATTTTTTCTTTCCTATATTCTCTTATTCTTTGTACCACACTTTCTTTCTTCTAGCCACCTTCCTTGAATTAGTTATTTTGTCCTCTTATCGCTCCCTTGTGTCCTACCTGCCTTTCTTCCCTCTGAGAAACCTGGAGCTGGTTAGGGCCGCCTGAGGATAATCTTCAATAAAAATAACTTCAGCCACAATATATTAGCTGCTACCAATATTACTTTTTAATGTCAACAGATGCAGTGTTTGGAACATTTTGACTTTCTGTTTAGCTGTTAACGCATTTTCTCTGCCAACACACACACACACACACACACCCACACACACCCACACACACACACATTAGTTCCACGGTTCCCAGGATCTACTGGGAATTCAGTGACAGAACACTTCTGGTGGGTCAGAACGGTTTCTAGGGGGGAGGGAAAAAGCTGTCATGCACCGAGCGACAATTTTGTGCCCACATTACGCCCGGGGGAGAACACTGCAAATGCTAAACACGGACGAGAGCAAATGCCCGGATTGCAGTCAAAGCCGGGATTGTCTCGTGTTAAAAAAGGAAAAGAAGAAGAAGAAAAGCCAGGACTTGGCTAGAGGAGCTGTTTATTAATTCATGACTGAGTATGATTGGATACAAGGAACAACCTTTCCCCATAAGCCTGCAGAAGAGGGCCCGTTTACCTCCGACGGAGAAAGTTCCGGTGCAATATTTTCGTAATGTTGCCGTTTACATAAACTTCAGTAAAGGCAAAAGAGAAAGAAGGGAAAAAAAACAAAAAACTTGCATGTGGGTGTAAAGGCATGTTATATATGCCGAGCCGGAGATGAATTCAATAAACCCAGCTTAGGATGATCTGTAAATATTGACTCCATGTCTGCTGGCTTTCACTTTGCACTGTTATTCAGAAGTACAAACCGTAAACCGAACAGGCTAACAAAGATTTTGCTTCCTGGATTTACTTCTCAAACTAAAAAATAAACAACCCAACAACAACAACAAAAATATGCCTAATTGGTTCAAATCATTTGGTTAGAACACAATAAAGCTGGACAATAAATCAGTAGCGATAAATATGGTGAGAGAGACTTCAAAATCAACACAATGAGCCAGAAATCTGTTGCTGTTGTTTTCAGTCGCCCTAATCTTTTTCTGTCGCCGAACGTGCCGTGACACGAGCAATAATTAGTGATCATTTGTGGTGTGCGGAAATAAAAACAAGACGATTGCTCCAACGGTGTGTCCACCTTCAACTGGATCGCAACCACTTCTCATCTCACGCGCATGAAACGGCTTCCACGTCATTTTCATAAAATCTCCTTAAACTAAAGGATCCCCAGCCGCCACTCTGACTTCGCCTCTGCAGGAACAGTAAATCTTTCACATTCTGTTAATCAACTTTTTTTTTTTTTTTGCATAAAAAGACAGCAGTGTTCATCCTGTAAGTTCAACCTCTGACTCTCTCTGACTGACATTGACGGTTTCACTGAGGGAAGCGATAACCAGAGACTTCCACCCACCGCCGCCACAGATTCCTAATCCTGTCTGTAAGCTCTTCGCTGCGGGGCGTCCTGACCGCTTATGCCACCCATACTCTTAACCCCGGCCTCCAACTGTACGCCGGTTTGGCGCATGAATCATCAGTGTAGGATTTATATGGAATGAGTCATATCAGCAAAGGGATGCCCGTTGCACTGTGCGAAGGATGCGTCGGTGTAGATTATTTGCAATATGTGCGGCAGTTTTTTGGGAAAAACAAAAAAAAACAAATCCAGAAGATGTGTGATTGCTGGAGCAGAGAGCAAAAGATTAAAGTTGTCATCTCATCATCCTGGGGGTAAAAGAAACAGAAAATATCCCCATCATGATATTCTTTTGGATTCACCCCTTAGCTTAGCTTCGAAACTGGAGGATGCAAAACATTTCTCATTGGCTGAATGACCCCAGCTTTATGTAAACACAATTAAATATTAAATATATTCATAAAATCCTTCAGCTTTAGTGGATATATTTGACGGGAGGAAGTGCGGAGATTTGTCATCAGAGAGAGTTAAGCTCGCATTGAAGCCTTTTCAAAGAGATTTTAACTGGTAAAGTTACATTATTTTAAGGGTTTATGTTCTGAGATGCAGATCGCAGTCATAAACAACTGCCAAGAGTTGTCGATCATTCAACAAAACAATTTCTTTAAACTTGAATAGACCAGAAACTACGCAGCGCACGTGGGCACAGTTTGTCTAGACATGTTTCACAAGCATTAAATATTCAGGCTTTGTGGATTTTTGCAAAATTCTCCCGAGTCAGGAGGGATTTCAGTTCTGATCCAGATCATATAAATCAGTCAGTCAGTTTTATTCTTCTTGTGCTCTGTTGACAGGATCGGCAAAGTTTCTTTGAAATTTGTTATAGCCACTCATTTCCACTCAGTTCGGCTTTTGAAAAACAAAAACACGACGAAAGAACCTAAAATCAATGGTAATTTGACCATTTTTAAAATAACAACCCGCTTTCCTATCAATCTACTGAGAGCCAAAAAAAAAAAGAAAACATTTTGTCAAAGAAATATGTTTGTGTGAATTTTGATATATGAGGGTAGAATCTTTGGGGGTTATAAACACATTGTCTTCTAGGTGTGGAGGAGTTGAAACAAAATGCAGAAATGTGTTTCAACACTTCAATGCATGTCCATCCATCCATCCATCCATCCATCCATCCATCCATCCATCCATCCATCCATCCATCCATCCATCCATCCATCCATACATCCATCCATACATCCATCCATACATCCATCCATACATATATATGGGATACTTTTATTTAGATCGATTGAAAAATAAGGATAGACTCTCCCTCTCTTTTTTCCATCTCTCACCATCAACTCCTCCTCCTTTTCCTCCTCCTCCTTTTCCTCCTCCTCCTTTCTGTCTCTCTTCCTTTTTTTTCCTCCTTCCCCCTTCCGGTCTCCATCCCACTTTTCCATTCTCCCTCCTCAGTCTCTCAGCCTGGACACACCCTCCGTCTCTCCCTCCCTCCCTCGCTCGCTCGTTCTCTGCGCAGACCGCATGTGCCAGCGCGTGTTCACGCGTGGCTCCGCCGCTGACGGGAGACGGCCGTGGACTGGATGTCAGGTTCCCCCCCCCCACCTCCAGTCCTTATGCACACTTACCCCCTTTCTTAACACCCGCTTAACATCCGTTAGAGAAATCTCATCTTCCTCCTCTTGAGGCAGCATCTCTGATGGCATCTTCCATCCTTCCTCCAGCATATTGGATTTAATGAGCAGGACGGCGTGGATGGAAAACGAGCAGTCTTTGGATTTCCTCGGTTACGGCGCTTGGTAAGTCTCCAACCTCCCTCCCTGCTCTCCCCGCACCCCAAATTCACTTGTCATAAGACATTGACAGGTGAACGCAGAGCGCGCGCTATCATGTGGAGGGGAACCGTCAAAACTGAGCTGAGCTGAGCTGGCCATTTTAAGTGGGACACAAATATACATATATAGAGAGAGAGGGGCTGGGGGTGTCTGCCTTTGGGTTAGTGAAAGGAGTCAGGTAAAGAACTGGGAGATGTTTTACTGTCCTCCCGTTCACTGCTTCTGCGCATTGATCTGCTGGTTATTTTCAGCTTCCATCCCAGACAAGTTCTCGTCGCTCCACCTGCGCGACTCGGATCCGCTTGGCCAGAACGAGAGCATGGATGCATGGATGCAGACGGTTGGGCGTGCAGAGCTAAGTTTATGTCCTGCAACAGCGTCTGATGCAGCGCAGTTGGACTCAAGTCGCTCCATTATTTGATGCTTACTTCCTGTTCTGGCAGCCATTTTTGGAGAGGCGATAGTTTCCTGGAGTTCTGACCAGTTCCCAAGAGATCCGCCTCAACTTGCAAATCCACTACTGAGCTTCTGTTTATTTCATTTGTATGTTCCTTAGTTGACTTATTTTACTCGGTCAAGTACGTTTGCCTCCCACTTGTTTTCACTTTACCAGCCTGGCGAAGTCGACGCAGATGTTTTGGGTTGGCTCACGTCGGCCGGTCGCTGTTCGTCTTCCTCTCTCGTCTCTGAGGAGAAAACGGATTGCTGGGAGGAAAGAAATGAGGGATCTCAGTTGCTAAAAGCAGTGATGGAAGCAAGAAAACAAAAGGATCATGAAGTTCGGAATGACAGATTGACAGGAGACACGAGAACTGAAGTGAGTGAGAAGACAAGAGCTTTTTAGACAGCCAAGCCTCTTCTGATTGCCAGGCTTTTGGCAGCTGGGGTCAGTTTACACACACACACACACACCTTCAGGTTCTCTCTGATGGGAGCAGGAAAGCGCTATAGATCACCTAAGACCTGCACCCTCGCGCCTGGCTGGCTGCGTTTCTTGCAAGGGACATCAATATTTATCACATTTTCCATTTCAAAAGAGCAAACTGTGGTAACGCCAGGAGATGGGAAAATAATAAAAGATAAATCAAATTACCCCACCTCCGGTGGACCTGCTGTTGCTGTTTCATTTAGGATTCCTTCCTAGCACTTAGCCAATTTTGGCTGGATCCCACTGCATATTGAAATACAGGTGCAGCATGGCGACTTGTGTTCTCGCCGGCTGTAGCGAGGAGCTGGAATTACATTTGCAATGATAATAGGAAGACTCTGAATAGCAGCAGAGGAGACTGTATTGTTCTTCTCTTTTTTTTTTAAGCATTAAAGGATTTCTCGGTCAATATATACTACAAAGAACATAGGGTTGGTAGTTCTCTCGCAGAATCTTGCAGAGGACTCGAGGTAAAAAAGAAAAATGATTTATTTGTAAAAGGGATGTGCAATAGATTAGGGGCTAGGACTTCTGGAACAAATGCGTGACACGGGTGACAATATGCAGAATAAACAATGAGACGGATGTCGCGGTCTAGTGAAGTGGCGTAGACATGGGGACGTGTGGAAGGCAGAGGTCCAAGTTGTGCAGAGTCTTGGTTGGAGTCTGGTCCAGAGCCACACAGGGCAGATGGCTTGTGAGGGCTAAGTCTGGACGGTGAAGGCGTTGGAGAGTGGGCAGACAAATGGAATCGATGATGGTGTGGTTCACCAAGGACATCAGCATCTGGTCAAGACCTCGTGCAAGGAGCTTTGATCCAGCTTGTTAAACAAGAGATCCAGTAAAGCGAAGGTCTCAAACTGCAATCCTGGAGAGCAAGAATACAGCAGCAACAAGATATGTTCCTTGTCTTCCACATCGGAATTAAATGGTGAAATGCTTCACTAGCATGCAGTCAGAGCTCTTCTAGTGAGATAATATAGGAGCCAGGTGTGCTGAAGCAGAGAGACACCTAAACGTTGCAGGAGAGTGGCCCTTAAGGACTGGAGTCTGAGACTCCTGCAGTGAAAGGTTGAACCTGTGGGGCCCAAAATGTTATGCTGTTTAGATTCTCAGGTCAGGCAGAACAGACAGGAGTCCAGAGGTCCGAGTTCTCAGAACTTTATTAGGACACACAATGACGCATTAAGGTCATACAATCCTGCCAGCTTCCCCACATGAACATGGCTGACGTCTTCTGCCCTGCAAGATGTGAAGAAAGAGTAGAAAAGTAGGATTGGTACAAAAAACTGTGCTTTGGCCATACTGTTTGTTAATCCTATATGAAATGTAGTTTATTGACTTTAGGTAAAATTAGTCTAAGACATATAACTGCATAAAAACTATGCAAGTAAATAAATGTTATGTTATTGGGTGTTCAGTCTTGAATAAAGACTATTTTAAAGGTCTTAGGGTATGCTTTTTTGTTGTTGTTGTTGTTGGGTTGGGCACAGTTTACCCCAAGCCAACGAAGAAAACACAAGTCAACAATGTCAATAAATATCATGGAGTACTTGTACGCATAATGACGACCCCTTCACATACTTTTTAAAGATCTGCATGTATTAAAATGATAATCAATTGCAATAGATGACGTTGTAACTGTGATGGTCAGTATATGCGTTTAGCAGCAGTTTTTCCTCTTTTTTTTCTAAAAAGTAAAATCACCCAGATTGTGTTTTACCTTTGTTTATTTTGAAAATGTTGCCCTAAATACCTTAGAGCAGTGGTTCCCAAAGTGTGGGGCGCGCCCCCTCATGGGAGCGCAGTGCCATTGCAGGAGGGATGGCCGGGGAAATGATATGGACTATGGATGGCTGAAAAAAAAAAACCTGTTACACGAACGTGTTTCACTGCAAATTGTAGTGTGTTTTGTTGCTACCTGAAGTGTGAAATCAACTTCACTGGAATTTGAAAATGAAATATGTTTATAGGTTTATGTCTGGTTGAATAATGCGTGTGCCCAGTTGGTTTTCTTTTTCTTTTTGGGGGGGCGGGGTTTATTGTAATCTAAAGAGGGGCTCAGAAAATCTTTGGAAACTTAAAGCAAACTAAATCTGATCCTGCCATAAGATTTTATGTGGCCCTCTAGACTTTAGAGCCACATAAATAAAACCTTCAGGTTGTGTACTTTAATTTTATTGTATCAATCAACCCGAAGCAGTTCAGCTGCGAAATTACATCAATGTGAGAAGATGTTCAGCATTACTTCCAATTTAGGACGTATTCATTGAATGCGGACATTCTGGCACAACATGATCTTGATCTGGGCCAAGATGGAAACGAGTTTCTTTCTTACAACTGAACATCTAATCTGGTGTTTGTATTTATTTATTTATTTTTTAAAGTAACGGATCCACTTTTTAAAATTCCACAGCACTCACACAAAACACAAGGCCCCTAGGAGGAGTCTGTTGTTTTTCTTTTTTCTCCTCCTCCTCAGCAGCGGTAAAGAGGCAGTAGGTGACCAGAGCGACTCACGCCGGCCGTGGATGCCCCTCCTCCCACAGCGACGACGCGTCGATACCACCCATCACCGACTGAGAAATTAACAACCCACCCCACCAAACCCACCCCAGTTCCCTCAACTTCCACAGCAGCTTTTCTCATGGTCATTACAGCGAATAATGGTTATTACCGATGCGGCTTCATAATTTAGCATGATGCATGAAATGAAGTTGGAAAATCAGTTACAGCAATTGACAGCTAATGGTGTCCGCGGCGGCGCGCGCCAGTCGAAAAGCTCTGTGGGCTTCGGAGCCTGTCACCCGGACGCGGTTGGACACGCAGGACGTCTAAACAAAAGAGATTCACTGCGACGCGGTCGAGCTGCGTTTCGAAATGTGATTTTGTGACGCCCGGACATCAACGCACTTTACAATGACAGAAAGGATGTAAAAATACTTCAGAGTAATGTGGCAAAGACTGGAACATAATGTCTCGAAATCGTGTTCTCTCACCGCTCAGCTATTTTTGAGTAAACAGTGTGGAGTTCTTCCATTATCTTCCCTCTGCGGATTGATTAGCAAATAATTAACTTTGCTGATAATGTAAATAGGATATAATGGGCTCTAACAACAGTGTTAGGAGTATTTAAGTCTTGTTCCTTTTTATCCTGAGCCCTGGAAAAAGATAATATTTAGCTTTTCTATTGTTGGCAGAATAATATTCAGCTGTTTTGGCCTGGGTTGTGCACACAGACAAGAAATTTGACTTCAGTTTCCCTCGCTCACATCGTGCAGACAGGAAAGCTGCTGTGTGAGACAAATAATCTGAAACAAAAATCAAGCTCCTCTGCCTTTTCTCAGTGCTATTACAGAAACGTACAGCTCAGTCGGAAACGACCAAGCAGAACCAGGAGGAGGGTATTAGCGCTGTTAATCACTCTTAAAGTACACGCTTCTCACGCCCTTTGCCTTTCTCTGTGCTACACTTCTGCTGATTCACCACAACATAGCCTGAGGTGAATGCTAATGCTAGTCAGCGTCGACGGCAGCAGATAAAGAAATGTTCTTGAATGGTAACTTGCTTCTCCAGCACTAGCACATTTTGAAGCGTACACTGGGATGATTGACAGTGCCAAGACCCTCTTCCTGTCTGTGATTGGTTGTTTTTGAACAGGAGTCATGCGATTTATTTTTTTTTTTTTTCAAATTTCTATAGCATCTTAGGTAGGAAGAGGAACTCAATCTTTTCTCAGATTACTTGTCTTATATTCTTCCACGACATGGTGACAGTCGTGAGAACATATTTTTTGTAAAAGTTACATAATGTAGCTTGTGTTGCATTCTCTGGGCCAGATCAATTCTGGCCCAGACTTCTGGTCTCCATCCAGCATTTCTGGGCTTGTGTATTTATGTACACGTTTACACTGAATAAGTGCGAGTCTGTTAAAAAAAAAAAAAACACACTAAACCCAAATGCAACTGAATATTAATGTGATTTCTGTATTTATTCCGCCGTGGCAGAATTTTAGCAGTCCCAAACCACTCTTTGC